AAGTGTTAAGCAAACTATACCCTGCACATTTGCTCATGAGGGTATATTGATTAAACGAACTACATGCTGAAGATTACAAATATCGATCAACTGAGCGCGAAGTCAAGGGCTTGCATCTCCGTACACAATCGCTTTTAGCAGCTATCGATATTTTTCTTGCTTCTAATATTTATGCAATCATATTTATTATTAAACGAACCCAAGAACTGGTATATATATTAGTTTTGTCTTATTAATATTAGCTAGATTAACGTAATACGCAAATGGGCAGGGCCTGGCCCATTTTAAGCTTCAGATTCAAGTCCAATTCCGTATCCAGTTTCAGTTCCAGTTCCAGTTTCAGTTTCAGTTGGGGCGAGCAGCTTATGATAATAATGATTATAAATTATTATAATCCAATCGGCTTTGAATAATTAATAAATTTTTTAAATCGCATACGCAAACTCGACAGCGCATAATCGGAACGTAAAAAGGCGCTGAACTCAGAGCGCTGAGACGGGGGCTAGGGTCTGGGTATTATGGGGGAAAGCGAAGAATGAAATGCTAAAAATGTGTTACAATATAAAAGAAAAGCAAAAGCGGCTAAAAGATGCGGCTCTCTGTATGTCTGTCTGTGTGAAAGGAACACGCCTAAACCCTGATAAATGCGCCATGCAGCAGAAAGAGTTTAAAAAGGTGTTAGAGCCAGGCACACACACACACGCACACCTGTCGAAAAGAAAGCCAAGACTACAATAAAGAGTCAGAGTCAGAGGCAGAGGCGTGCCATTAAAAATACAATGGGGGGCGGCCCCCAAACTGAACAAGATGACAAACAGTTTGGACATTTATGAGCAGCATTTAATGGACATTTGACTACCGGAATTTAACGAAACAGTTCGAAACAGGGTCGGGGCGGGGGCAGGGACAGCGACAAGGGGTCGGGGGGAAGTCTATTGAATGATTCGAATGATTCGTTGCGCATTCGCTTATTGATTGCCGTCTGCGGAAATGATGCGCGCTAAGCAGGAAATGCTGCAGCAAGTGCTTCGTATAATTTGCTAGATCACATGCCTTTATGATTATTAATATTTATATTATTTTCTTTTAGCCAATCGGCGTCTAATCTGTGTGTAATTTATAATACAAAAGTCGCTTAGCTAACGTCCTATCAGCAGCTGATATAACCACAAGGCAGACACGCATGTCATTATCTGCTGTCTTTTTGGTTTTTTTTTACCACTTTTATACTCTATTAAAGGGTATCGCGTATTTGTAGTGCAATTTGTAACGCACCTTAAGCATAAATCAATTTTGATTACAGCTTTTGTGCGCAAACCTTTTCCTTTTCAGGATACTCAACTAAAATGATATTTAAAGCCGCATCGGACTGGACCGATATATTATAAAGCTTCCTTGTCAACAATCGAAAGAGTATTTAGACTTCGCCTTGCCGTGGTTAGACTCGTTTTTTCTTTTGTCTTTTCGATATCGTGCGGCAAATTATCACAACAATAATAAACTAAATGCTTTTTAATTAGTTGCAAAATCAAATGAAGCTATGAGACCCGATGTAATATGTTGGCACAGCCAAATAAATAATAATAATAACTATTTATAAAATGATTTGTTGCCGATTGTACTCCTCTTGGTTATTTATGAGCGCCCACAAGCTATAAGGTGTGGAGAGAAACTAAGTAGCGCCCATATCTCTGCGCAGACCCACATACCCAGAGCTTTATTATCTGCCCAACTTAGTCTTATCTTAATCCCATTCACGATTCACTAAGCGTATGCGTCCACATATAAAACTGTCAAAAAAAAAAAGAACACAACAAAAAAACTAAGAAAAAAAGCTGACAACATTCTTGTCGAGCTTTGTCTATAAAAATTTTGTCGAACTTGCGGTTTGATTTAGGCAAGAAGACAATGCCGATAAGTCGATTGTGTGTGTGTGCGCGTGTGTGTGCGTGTGTGTGTTGATATCGACGACACAAAATTCAGTTAATACTTTGATTTATTTAATATATAACACAATTTGTAGGGTTTTTCCATATATTTTTTTCATTTCTTAGTTGGGCCGCGTTCAAAAGACAAAAATCACTTGTAAATCCATCCAAATGGCATAAAATAGATGAAGCTGATTATGAACTGACTAAGGCGTCTATATAGCCATATGGCACACACACACTTACTCACAATTGAGGAATTTGTTGTGCGGCAGATAAATAATAATTACACTCACACGACATAATCAATTATGCCTGCTAATAAATGCCCCGGGACACATGTAGTCCATCAATATGTGACTTGCCTGTATGTGTGAGTGTGTGTGTGAGTGTATCTGTGCGTGTGTGTGTGTTATCCACAAATGTGCGTTGCACTAATCACGCCAGCATGTTCATAATCAATTTTATCGCACTTATTTGGATTAATTGCGATATCAATGACAGCTTGACGACGGGCGGGGACAAAGGGGGCGGGGCAACGGCGGGAGGGCGAAGACGTCAGCGCCGCAGTCATCAGACCCAGTTCCGATAAAAAACAAAAGTGAAGAGTGTTCTAGACGGGTGTGACAGGCTAGGAGATACCCTAAAAGTACCCTGCTCAAAATCGATATTTATCGACAGGATATCGAGGCAGATATGAAGATATCACAAGCAAATGAGATACTAATCTGGCGCTCATAAGAACTTGTCGAATTTCGAGAAATGCTTATAAGTCCATCGGTATTTATCAAAATTACAGAAATCGAAGATATCGAGGAGGATATGGCAATAGGTTTTGTCGATATTTATCGACAATACAGAAATCGAAGGTATCGAGGACTTCACATGACAAATTCTTGATCTTTAGCTTGTTTGCCAGCTAAGCGCATTCACAAAGGCAAAACGAATGACATGTCCAGAAAGTCTCGCTCCACAGCCTGGCCAGAATGGGCCCAGAGATGCCTCCTTCTGCCGGTTTCATTTGCATTTGCATTGGTCCTAAACAATTTCTCACTTTTGCCCATTTTCAATGATAAAACCGATGACGCGCTGCAAGCAAAAGTCAAACATTAACAGTTACAGTTACATGCTGTTATCGCCAGTTATCGTGCTCATATCTAAGTCGGGCGACTGTGTGTGTGGGGCGGTAGGTGGTGGGGGGGGGCGGAGGTGCGCCTTCGTCAACGCCTTATGCCCAAATTAGCAATAAGCAGCAAAAGTCGCCGACGCACCCAGCACAGAGGATTATCTTATCTGGCTGAGGTAAAAGCTTTGCAGCCCCCCGCATGGATATCAACACCTGAGAGGGGGGCGCGGGGCGTTGGGACAAGACGCATTACAAGAGGCAATTAGCCAAGAGGCCGCCGCATGGTTAAGCATACAGAAAAAAAAAGTGGAAAACAAACCAAACCAATATTTACACCAGCTGGAAAAGCAACGCTTATCGTGCTCCAATCTCCACTCGGAACTCGGTGAAGCGGCGCCGATAAGGATTATCTCTTAATCTGCATAAATAGCGAAAAATTCTCGCACATGGTGTTCTCTTTTAATTTTTTTTATTATTATCACAAATGAACCCGATTCAGTGCACAGCATTTATGTGTGTGTGGGTGTGTGCTTGTATGCCCTAACCAAAAGTTGGTCGACTTGCGGGCAGAAAAAGAGTTAATTGTGTTAGAGCAGCTAGAATCTTTTCTAATTAGAAAATAGAAAACTATCTATGTGAAAATTATTTCCTAATCTCATTTTTGTATAGTTCTTAACACTTGGAAGAGCACTTGCAGATCCCGCAGTTCCATTATATATCAGATCCAGCTTTAAGGTGCATTATAGAATTTAATTTTATGTATCAGCTCAGGATATATATATCCTCTTAAAGGAAACACTTGACATTTTGTATGGAGATATCATTTATAACCTTAGCTTAGCAAGTCGAAAAAGGTAATATAAATTTTTCATATCCCTCCTAACTCCTAAAATTGAATAAGAATAAAAACTAAAACGAGTTGACAAATTTTTAATTTTTTTTTGGATATGAGCTAGATAAATATATTTATATATATGATAAATACGCTTCCCTATTTTAAATAGAAATATAATTCTGTTTTTTTATGTAGAAATCCCCAAGATATTCGTGCTATCAAAGAATAGTTGCCAATGGCCTAAGCTCATCTAGTATTTAATGTTTCCCTAATTCCGATAGGGTATTCTAAGCTCGCTGCTTAACTGTTGGCATTTGCAGCGTTGTGTTTATTTGCACTGATTCACTTTGTTGTCGCAGAGACGGAAAAGTAAGCGGCCTTTTGAAGTTTAACGGTGACTAATGCACGTAGCACCCATTGAAATAGTTCACGGCTAAATCTGAGAATAAACCTACGCCCAGCTAAATCTGAAGCGTATGAAAATTGAAAACGAAAGAGGGAGAAAGGTAACAGGGGATAGAGCATGAATATAATAGATTTTCATGAGCTTGTAGAGGGTATTATAAGTTCATCATATTATGTGTGAGGCATACAAAAAATCATATCCGACCTTATAAAGGATATATATGCTTAACATATAAATAACAACAGACAAATAGATGTTGGCATATTCTAAAACTAACCTCATTACACTTGAGTCGGGTTTAAAAGCTTTATATATGTCGGAATAGGATATATCGTACTACTATATCATACAGTTACCATAGGAATAATCAGTCCAAAATGAAGTTAATTTATGAAGAACTTTCGTAAAATAAACCTTTCCATGAAATGCATTGACTGGTCTATTTGCCTTATATATGTCGCAATCAGATAAATCGGACCGCCATATTTTATATATAAATATAGCTAGCATAGGATCGCTCGAAATCAAGTTTAAAAACTTTGGTAAAATAAACCTAGCGATAAAAAGTTTTGACTACTTCGCCATTTAATTAAGGCAAAGACAAACTTTGAGCCTGGCTTTGAATAGTTCCGAGGACTAGCAAGATTTCAATAAGCCTGTTTATATAAATGTATACATATATGTGAACTTGGTTGTAGAACTCACCTGCTGTCCGGCATTGGCTGCCACCCAGGCCTCGGCGAAGGTTTCCATAGCGCTTTGAAAGTCCATCATGGAACGAGCTGGTGTTTAGCTTCAGGTGCGATTCTATCAATTTCAATTTGTGGCACTCGAAGTTCAACTATTTGTTAGTTTTTATATATGTATTTTGTGTGGGCGTGGCCGTTGATTTGGCATTAATTGGTCTTGGTTGGTTTGTGATGGAAACGTTGCATCAATTATTATAATTTCGCGATAAGGCTCTAAAGCACGCTTTGATTACGAGAGAGAGCCAACTTTATGGCCAAAGCAAATTAGACGCACACAAACGGGCAGCTGAACACACCTGAACACCTGAGAACTCACGACGCGGCGACGCGACTTGCAACGGCGGCAACTGCGTTTGGCGGAACGGATTCGTTGAGGCTGCCGCAGCGGCTGCTCTGGCTCTGGCTCTGGCTGTGGCTCTGGCTGTGGCTGTGGCACGGCTCAGCGCGACGCGACATCATTAGCACACGGGCGCGGATACGCCATAAAAAATGTGGGCGCTCTTAATATGGTGTGCGCGGTGGGCGTGGCAGCGTGTCAAAAGTCAAGCCAGCGAAGCGCACAAAGATCCTCGCAAGCACGGTTACGGCTCGAGCTGCCAATGAAGACTGACTGGCGCGCGGGGCAGATTCAACGATTCTTCGTTTCTCTAATGCTCTTTGTTATTGTTCTTGTGATAAGCGCAGCCTGTTGTGCTGTTTGTTTACTCGGTTTCGCTCTTTTTTATTTGGCTTGATGTAGCTCGAAATTGTGTCCAAATGTGACGTGTATCGAGTGCTCTGCTCTGGAACGGACGCGCGTCAAGACATCCTTTCACAGCACAAGTTGTCGCACAACTGACAAATTCTTTCGCATTCGCACTGCCCGACCCGAGCCCGAACCGCCCCCGACCCGGACCCGGACCCGGCCGGCATCGGGCCTGCAGCCGCGTGCCGCACGACGCGATGTTCTTCGCATTCGTCTCTGTTTCATTTGCTGCTGACGTTTGCATTTGTGTGCGTAACAATGCCTCTCACTCTCTCTTGCTCTCGGTCTCTCTCGCTCTGCCGCTCTCTCTCTCTTTCTCTCTCTGTCAGTTGTTCTCTTGTATTTCAAATAGTAGCAGAACTGCAAAATAGTATAAATTGTTCAGGATTATCAGAGTTATTCTAAAAATATTGGATTCTTATATTAATGCACATCAACTGAGAGACTTTGCTCGTGAAAAAGATTTCCTTGGAACTCAAGTACACTTTTTCTTAGAACTATAAAATTCGGTGAAAATTGTTAAGATTATTTGAAGAGTTTTTTGCAAAGATTCTACATGATTTGGATCAATTATTGCAAAGACAAAGACGGTGTTTGATCCCAACTAAAATAATCCCAGACAATTTGAACAGACATATGTATGTAACCCTTGCACATACATATGTAACATACATATGTAATCCTAGTAATAAGTTATTTTTTATATAATTGGTTGGTATTAATTTGAATTAGAACTAACTGATGCGATCTAGATTGTAAGAGAAAAATAGATCTGTCGCTTAAAATCATATTTTAGTGGAATACCTGTGAAGTATTATTGGATTTTGTTCCAAAGTACACACGCCAGAAACCCCAAAATATGTTATTATTAAGTTTTAAACTGTACATATTTAAACTTTCTAATAATAATATTAACATAATGAATAAACGCAAATAAAACCATGTTAAAAAATTAAAACATCTGTAAAATAAGAGTAAATTCTATTGAAATTCCATAAAACCAACCTTACCAAAAAAAGGTAGTAGAAATAGTAGTATTTTGCTCAGAGAGCGTAGGTCTTTGATTGTGTGTGTGCATGTGACCAAAACAAAACACGCACACAACGACACCAACGAGAGCGAGCGAAAGAGAGAGTGAACGCGAGAGAGCCACCGCACGCACACACACACACACACACACACGAACTGGGGTAAACCTGTTCCGGCGCAGAATTGCACTTGTCTCGCGACAGGCTCGCCAACATGCCCCACCCCAGCCCGCCTCCCACCCACATGAACGACTTCCCTTCGGCTGCGCGTTTTCTTTTACTTTTTGTGCGCTGTAGCGAAATTCAATGGATTTGCCGCAAATTCGGGTGGAATTATGCCACACACACACGCGCGCACTCTCGCACACACACACACACAGACACACAACTGAGCTATTGTTGAGAGTGGGCGTGGGCGTGAGCCACTCGTACAGCGACGGCTAAGCGGGCAGCGTGCGCGCGAGTGCGAGTGCGAGCGATGCGGGAATAGATTCGCGCGCCTGTGCCCGACCGGGATGAAAGAGTAAATCGGCAGCGCTTATTATTATTATGTCGTTATGTGGAGCCGAGGCCCAGAGGCAGAGGCAGAGGCGGGCGCAGTAGCAACACCCACTCCGCATTTAGCACCTCGACGAATGGAAATGGATGGCGGCGACAGTGCGCGCGCGTGTGTGTGTGTGTGTGTGTGTGTGTGTGTGTGTGTGTGTGTGTGAGTGTGAGTGAGTGTCCGTGTTCGTGCCTTTGACACGAAGTGACCACTTGGCGGAGACGCAGATAAGAGCGCAGATAATGCGCGCGCATTACATGTGATTAGGTGTTCGGCGAGCTGGGTTTAGCCAACCGCCGCGAAGGAAGCACGGGCCCCGAGTACATGGTACATAGCCAGCTGGCAGGATACATACGGTATATGGGTCGCTCTCCATTGGGTGGAGTTACCGCACGCAAAAGCAGTTATTGCATTATAATTACTCGCAGCTGCATCTAGTTTGCCAGCCCGAACGGGACTCTAATTAATTTATAAAATTCATATCATCTCATACTTAATAAAACATAATATACCAAATATTTACATATGTATATGTATAGACCGGCTCTCTAAACGTAGTCGTTTCAGGGGTGGGGGGAGTCGTAGAGTATTTTGCAATTGGCGGAGATTAACAGCCACAAAAAACTCGGCAAATTTTATCGTTATTCTTATCCGTCTTCCTGCAAAAAATGCCATGTGCGCTCTCCCTCTCTCACTCTCTCGTCGCTCACGTACACGTACACATACACACACACACACACACATAACCATGCACACAAACACACACGCACAAAACATACCCATGCACTCGCATATTGTCGGGCAGCTCTCGCTCTTTCCCTTTTGCTCTTGCACGAACGTGCCAGAGCGAGATAACCCATAAAAATTTTGAGCAAAAGCAAAGATGAGCAAAGCGTAAACGCAAACGAAAAACAGCAAAGCGTGCTGCAACAACAACAACAACAACAACAGCAGCAGCAACATCAGCAAAAATATCACAAAATAAACATAAAAAGCGCCGGCAAACCAGTTCGGATAGACTCCGCCCTCGGCGTACGCTGATTGGCTAAGCTTTGCCTTTGCCCAAGACTTCATCTTTTTTGTTTTCTGCGCTTTGCTCTGTATGTTGCTGTGGTTGTTGTTCTTCTTAGTTGTTTTTTTTTTTTTTTGTTTTTGTTGGCTGCGGTTTTATCGCCTCCAACGACAGCGACGTCGGCGTCTTGCCACTTAGTTAACAGCGTCGCAGCTGCCCCTCTCCCAGCCTAGACTCTTGGGATGGGCTTTACCAAATTTCGAGCCCCAAATCTTTGCTGTTCTTTGAATTTCGTAAATGTGCACATATTTACATATGAAAACGGAGCTCGTACGAATATAGCTTATTATGCACGAGTACTTCGGGCTTGTAAAAATTGGGGTTAAAAGTATGTTCCGTTTTTATGGTACCTAATGCAAATGGAGCTAAATGAATGTATATATTGTATATATCTATAATAAAATTCATATCTATGCCACAAAAAATAATCTTTTCCAACTTCCAGATTTCAGCAGAAATATATATAAATATATTTTATAAGAAACATATTAAAAACCATGTTAACTACAATATTTATTTTAATTAGCAAACAAATTTGTTTGAGTAATCTAAGAATTTAAATATATAAAATAAATATTTTATTTCTATTGTAATGCAAGACCCAAAAACAAAATATTCATAAATTCTTTGTTACAAAGAACATCCAAGCATGATTCAAATATTTTAAGAAATATCATCAATAATCTTAATTACAGACAATTTTCTTGAATGTAAATAAATCATTTAAAAATTGTAACATGCAAGCAGCAATTATTTCAATACGCCGAGGACCTCAGCTAGTTAAAAATAAATGTAAAAAAAAATGAAAATTGCGAAAGGACTTGACATGCTGTGAAGCCCGCCAAGGGAAAATCAATAATTTTATTAAAGTTCTTTGCTGCCGGCTGCTGTGCTTTTCTTTTTGATATGTTTTTTTTTTTTCGTGACAGCAAGGGACTTGTGCATTGGTGGGATGGGGAGGGGGGTAGAGGGCGCGACATAGAATGTAACGTGTGGAAATTTTCAACTTTAAGCGCGAGAGAACAAACATGGCAAATGGACCGCAGGCGAACCTGATGCCCTCCCTCTGTCCACTTGGGTGGGCCTCTCCACTTATTATTGTTATTACTCAATGTGCCACCATTCAGTCGCGTAAACGGTCGTTGCCGTCAGCCGCATCATCATCATGGGGCCCAGTCGAGGCACGTAAGGGTACACATAATGCCAACAGGACTCGACAACGTCATCATGATCATCATTGCCGTTGTCGCTGGCATAATGACAAAAGGACATTCATTAAGTTTTTGATTTCTGATTTTATTGTTGATTAAACCCCAACCCCATTGGACTGTAGCCCACTAGCCTAGCCGTGGGTAATGGTTATAATGCTGAAACCGACACCAGGCATCAGCAGGAGCAGCGGCAACTGTGGCATTGTCCTCTCTATCGTGCTGAGCACTTCCGGCGCAGAGCGTCAACTTGACATTTCCGTTTTTTCGGGCTGATGTCTCTGCCAGCCAGCCAGCCAGCACTTGAGGCAGCCAGCCACCCAGGCTGGAGTAGCCGAGTGTTGTTGCTGGCTTATCACCCGGCGTCGTCCTGCCAGGGCGCACACACACACACACACATATATATACATATATATACCCTATATAAAGCACATAAAGCAGAGAGACGTCTCTTGCGTTTTGGCCAACAGCCAACCAGTTTGTGTTGCCAGCATTTTGATTAAAGCCACAGCCAAACCATATGTGTATCTGTGTGTGAATGCGTCAGTGTGTGTGTGTGTCGGTGTGTGTGTGGCAGCATTATCCTTGCTGTGGATCTGGCACTGTGTGTGCATTTCGTACATAGCCGAACTGAAGTGCTGCCATTCGCTTGGCTCAAGTATTGACATTGCCAATGTTGCCCCAGGCGAACGGGCAGATGGAGGCGGGTGGTAGGGTAGGACGTGGTGCGGGGGTTGCGGGTCGTCGCCTGGCGGTGCCATTGGGGAGCTCTTCTCAGCCGAGCAGCTCGTTTGCAGGCGGCAAGCAAATGCGCCTGCGCTAATTTTTGGGTTTTACTTGATTTTTATTTCCAGCTCTTGATTCCATTTATTTTGTTTTTTTTTTCGAGTGTATTTGTATATAAGGAATAACAGTATATAGTATATATACTAGGGTGTAAATAAAATTTAGCGAAGCTTTCCGTTTTAATTACACACAACATTTTTTGGAAATTTTATATAAAGTAAAATAAATCAGCATAAAATACGAATTTTGCCAAACATTGTGTTCACATGTTCTTAATTAAAATCAATCCCAATTTAGCAAAATAAAATTAGTTATTAGTTATTGGAATTCCAGAGATACTACTAATATCAAAAATATATGCAAAGTACTAAAAGAAATAATTTTTTGAAAGCTTGAGAATGTTATAAGATTCTTAATCAGAAATTGAGTTTATTTTTAATTTATGTTGAGCATAGTAGAACTTTAAAGGAAATTCGACGTATATAAAAGGAAGAAGTGAGCTTATTTGATCCCTTAT